CTGAGGATCCCCGCTGTCGGCTGCTGCCTGGCTGTGGTGCCCCTTGGCTGGCTATTGCGCCGTGCGAGGTGTGCTTGGAACCAGTGGAGGTGGTTGCGCTTTTCCGCAGTCACGCCATCGGGGACCCGCCGGCAGTGTGCTGCAGTGCCTGTGCGCCTGTGCTTGCTCGTGCGCTGCTGTGCCTGCCGCGCCGCCGCTCGGTGTGCTTTCTCTGGCGTCCCCCTTTCTCCCCTCTCCTCGTTGGCAGCTGGCTGCCCCCTTCTCCCGTGTGATCTGACCTGAGCCTTGACCCCCTGTGTCGCCTGCCCTCTGAGGCGGTCCCCGCCCGCCCGCCTGGCCGCTCCCCCAGCTTCTGTGCCGGGGTGGGTGGCGTCTCGGAGCCGCTTGCGCCGCCTGCTGGCGGTCCTGGCCCTTGATCCCCCTCTTTCCCCTGTCTTTTGCCCCCCGTTTCCCCTCCTCACACCTCTCTGACAGTCACTGGGCTGGCTCCCAGGCACCCTCCGCTTTCCCTGCCGCCCGCTGTGCCCGATCGGCTCCTCGCAGCCCCGCGCTCCGCCGCCCTGTCTGTTGGTTGGTTTCGTACTTATATTGTCCAGAGCTAGTGGGCACGGCTTGTGTGTCCCCAGCCCTTTAAAGGGCCCGGTTCTCTGTAATCTCAGTCAGTCAGTCAGTCGGCGCATTTGTTGTGTCCCCAGCCCTTAAGAAGGCCCGGTTCTCTGTAATCTCAGTCGGTCAGTCAGTCCGCGCTCTTTCGTGGCGGCATCTGGGCGGCGGCATGGCGTTACGGCGCCTCCCCGGTGGTCATTCTTTCGCCAGAGCTAGTCGGCACGGCTTGTGTGCCCCCAGCCATTATGGGCCTTGCCTCTGAAATCTAAGTCAGTCAGTCACATACCTCCACATGCCCCCCTCCCACGCCTCCGCTCACCAACGAGAAAGAACATGGTGGTAATTAAACAGAAGTAAACAGATGGCAGTTCAAAACAACGCGCACATTTGCAATCCACGAATGGCGGGGCGTCAGCTGGAGCGTTTGATGGGCAGCGGGAAGAAGCCGTTCCGCAGGCGGCGCGCCGCTGGGTCGTCCAGGCACTGGCACTGGCTGGGGTCGCACACTGGGTAGGGGATGTCGACTGAGCAGCGGCAAGCGGCGGTGACGGACGCATTCCAGCAGTGGAAGGCCAGGCCCCACGCCCGCTCCATCACCTGCAAAACGAAGGAGAGAAGGAGACGGAGGGCAACCGAGGGGATGAGGGATACAAACCAGTGGGCGCTTGGCTGCCCACCAGAGCCGGCCTCCTCCCATCCCAAACCGGCCGCCCAACAAATCCCGACCACTCGCCTGGCCAAACAACGGGTCTGCAGGCGACGCGGCAGTCGCCCAGCGCTGCATGTCGGCTGGGTCTTGCAGGAAGGAGGCGTCCCCCCTGGGCAGCATGTCGGGCCCCAGCAGCTGGAGCAGCTGCTCGAAGAAGCGGAGCGGCCTCGCGCGGATGCGGCGCCGCGACACCACAAACTGGTTGCGGGCAAAGTGGGAGAAGGCCTCGCCGGTTTGCAGGTGGCAGAACTGGCGCAGCAGCGGGGAGCGGGGCGCACAGGCGAGGGGAGGCGGGCATTGGGGGGGTGGCGCTGGGAGGTGGTGCTCTAGCTGACCAGGGCGCTCTAGCAGCCACAAACGGGCCGCGCACGCTCGCCACAGGCGCAGGGCACGGGTGCAGTACGGGCACCGGTGCAAGAGGCGGAGAGGCGGGCGGTCACACTTGCAAAGCGAGAGCGCAGGCAGGCCTCACCCGCTTGCTCATGAAGTGGAACATGTCTCGCAGGCCCATGAGCGTCCCCTGGAAGCCGCACCCCCTCACACAGCTGCGCAAGGAAAGAAAGGGAGGCACGGGGCTGGCAAGCCTGAGGAGGCGTGTCCCTGAGAGGTCGGCTGGAGTGAGGAGCTATGGGGGCAGGAGGGAGCAGTGCCGTGCTAGCACGCAGCTGCCATCAGCAGTAGAGGCGCCCTCGCCAGGCCAGCCTGCCCTGCCTGCTCCCGCAGCAGCCCAAAGCAGGCCCCACCCAGCCTCCCACCACCTCCCGCCCCGCCTTGCCTGCAGAAGCTGGGCGCGCTGAGGCCGAGGTAGCCCGTCTGTGGCACCAGCAGGCGCTCGAGGCGCATGAAGGCATCGTCCAGGTGGTGGGCGGAGGAGAAGAAGAGCGTGTGGCCCGCCAGGGTATCATACCGCTGCACCATGTGCGTCAGGAAGCTCTGCGGGCAGGGGAGGCGGAACAGGAAAGGGGGAGGCAGGTGGGTGAGAAGGAGGGCAGGGGTCCACGAAAGCCAGCGCCAGCACCAGCGGCCTGGCAGCGGCCGCGCAGCAGCAGGCTGTGGCCCAACGCACAGCTGCCCGGCAGGCATCGATCAACAGCTGCATGGGTGTGCAAGGCGGGCAGCCGTGGGGCTTGGGGGGGCACTGCTGCCCCAGCCAGGGCCGGCCGCCTCGCTCGCGAGCGCTCACGTGCGGCGCGCCGCCCACATCCTCCTGCTTGATAACGTTCAGCTGCGGCGCAAAGGCCCAGCGCTCCTTCAGGGCGGCCACATCAGTGTCGTCCCCCTTGACATACAGCGTCACCGACGGCGCCAGCGTGGAGATGGCAGACAGGTTGAGCAGGCGCCCCAGGTCGGCCTGCGCCGTGTCCAGCGACCAGCCCGTGCGGTGCGCCACCACGATCTCCAGGCGCAGGCTGCTGCTGCTGCTGCTGCCGTTGCCGGCGGCGGGGGATGGGGCGTCTGCGTCTGCCGGGTACAGAACATCCGTCTCGCCCACGCTGTCCCAGCCCGCCACCGCCGCCGCCGAGGGCGAGGCCGCCCGCTGGAAGACCTGGGCGTAGGTGGCGGCCCACCGCATGTCGCTGTGGCCCATGGCCAGCAGGGCCAGCAGCAGGGCCAGCGTAGCAGCAGCTGCCCAGCCGGTCCAGGCAGGCCTGCAAGGGCGGAGCGGGGCGGGGGGCAGAGGCGGGAGCCGGCAGTGGCAACGGAGGGGCAGGATGGCCAGGCCCTTCGCACCTTTGTCACGCCGTCCAGACGCACCAGCCTTGAAATCGCCTCGATATGGCTTGGAGAGCCGACTCCTCGCCGTTCGGCACCGCGAGTCGAGCCATGCCGAGCCACACAACAGCCCCAGCGCCCCAGCTAACTAGATACAAGTATCTAGTTGCCGACTTGCGTGTGCGGCAGGGGAGGCCGTGAATCTACTTCTGCGAGCCCGCCCATCCCGCCCCGCTGGCACCAGGTCTGGTGCAATGTCGGTAGGGTTACCCATCGAGTAAGCCTTCTTCCTCTCTGGACATTCACAAAGAAAAAAAGGCCGTTCAGCACCGCCGGGCAGCAGGCAGCGCCATGCCATGGCGCTGAGCTCCCGGCGGCAGATGCTGGCCCTGCTGGCGCTGCTGCTGGCCTCCGCATGGCAGTGTGCAGCGCGGAGCCCAGGGCAGGGGCAGAACAAGCCAGATGGCGCCTCTGCGCCCACGCCGGCGGCGGCTGGCGGCAACAGCGGCGGCACAAAGGCGGCAGCCGGGGGCAAGCTGCCCATGCTGGACATTGTGCTCAACCTGTTTAGGGAGGACACGAATGCTGGCGGGCAAATAGACACCATGCTCAGGGAGATCCTAAACACACCCCTGGAGCACTGGAATAATGCCACGGTGGCGGACTTGAAGCCCGAGGTTTGGCTCTATGTCAAGGTGGGGCAGCAGTGCCTTTGCTGCGCCGATGCTGGCACTGTGTCCTGCGCCGCTGGGCTGCGCTGAGCTTGCTTGCGCTGCTGCGACTGCTCTTCTTTGGCCGGCGTTCATGGCACCTGTGCGCTCACCACCCCTCGGCCTGGCTCTTGCTTCCCGCACCATAGGCTGAGGACCGGCTTGATGGCATCCAGCAGCAGCTGCCATACGTGCAGCATGTCGTGCCTGTGCAGAACATTGGGAGGGAGAGCCATGTGAGCTGCCCTGCTGCTGGACTGGAGCCGCGGCATGCATCAACACTGTGGCGCAGCAGCGCCGGGCTGGCAACCTGCTGCTTGGCTGCCTGGATCTGACCGCTGCGGACAACCTGGCTGCCTGCAGTCCTACCTGACCCACATGCTGGCGCGGCGAGGCAGCTTCGCCGATTTCACGCTGTTCATGCAACCTGACGGATACAACGGTGTGTTGCTGCGCATGCGCAAGCTGTGGATACCTGAGACCGGCGCGATGGGCCTCGCCTGGGTGCGGCACACCAGGTCAGCTGCACGTGCTGCCCAATGCCTGCTGGCCTGCCGCTGGGTGTGCCCTGCCGGCACAAGGTTGCCGCACGTGCTTGCTGCCGCTGCCCCGACGCCCTCTGCGCTCCCATGCCGGCTTGGCCGCTGCAGCTGTGAGCATGGCGGCGACTGGGGCGGCACAATGGTGGGGGTGCGAGACGTGTTCAACGTGTTGTCCGACACGCCGTGCCACCTAGTGCCCAACAGAGTCATCACCGAGTTTGAGCGCGCGCTGATGCTGGTGTCGCGGCGGCGCCTGATGGCGTTAGACACCCGCATTGTGGCGGACTTGCATGCCTTGCTCGCAAACAACACCCATGCCGCCGTCTTCAACGACATCGACTACCTGAACAACGAGACCAGGACAAACATGCGCGCCAACAACTACCCCCACATAAGCGACCCCTTCTTTGGCCATGTGAGTTGCGGCCACTGGAGATGGCAGAAGATGGGTGGCGGGCAGGGCCGCTCGGGACAGCCTTGGACAGCTGGAATGTGCTGCAGCAGAACGCTTGATCCCTAGCCCCTGGTCTGAAGACCGCCCTCTCCTCTGCCTGCTGCGCAGGTCATGGAGCGCTCCTGGGCGGCCCTCGTCAACTGCTGGCACCCGTCGGTTTCGATCGAGTGCCGTTGCAACAATGACCAGGAGCCCTGCGTGCCGGGATCCTGCGGCTGCCTGGACGACTTAGAAACGGGGGAGATGCTCAATGCTGCCGGCAAGGCTCCACCGCCGCCGCCAATCAAGCAGCTGTAACCGGCCGGCCTGCTGACACTGCTGCAAGGTTTGGGGGGCGCAAGGCAGGCAGGTTTCTGGTGCTAATGCGGTGCTACTAGGCCCAGCACAGCGCTGTGGCCCTCTTCTCCCCAGAGATCACAGAGCGAATGCGTTACATCCATGCATTTGCATGCTGAGGCACAGCGGGCACTAAAGCTGCTGCACTCTGACCCGAGAGCCAGAAAAACTGGGATTGCATGCTAAAGAGTGTATGGTGGTGGGTGGGCGCACGGACGGTGGGCAGCGTGGGCAAGTGCAAATTAGGTCATATGAATGTGTCGCTGAGTTTGAAACTGGAATGTTGTGGTACAAGGGCTGAGGCAGCTGAGGCAGCAGCGGCCCGCCTCAGCGCGATGCCGCTCAGGGCTCGTCTGGGATTGTGGGCAGGCTTCGCTGCGTGTCGGTGCGCACCGACATATCTGGGGAGACGGGCAGGGAGCTGCCGGCGTCCATGGCAAAAGCAGCCTGCACGCACACCAAGCGCACGCACAGCTGTTGGGCAGACAGCCAGCTGCCCGGCAAAGGAGCACAAGTACACAGACCAGCAAGCCCGCCCAGCCCCCACACATGGCAACCTGCCCCCTCTCTCACGCCGCGCGCTTGCCTGCACTGTGGACTGGCTGTACTTCATGCGGCGCCCGCCCGTCACCGTGCGGCGCATGGTGATGTTGACCGAGCGGGCGGCCTTGGACAGCTTGCGGCGCGCCTGCTGGGCGGGCGTGCGGATGTGGGAGAAGGCCAGCACAGAGATGATGGGCGCCACAGACATGATGGTGAGCATGCCAAAGCCCTCGGCTGCAGGGGTGGGCAGCAGGGGAAGGTGTCAGGTGCCGCGAGGTATGCGCTGGGCATGCCGGGCAAGGAAGGAGCGGGCCAGCCGTGGCACAGCTGCTTGCGCCGGCCGCCGTGAGCCCAGCGGCCTGCAGTTTGCCGCCGTGCCTGGCCACCACGCCCTGCCACAGCGCCCCGCCGCCGCCCACCTGAGCCCACGGCCTTGGCGAAGCCGATGCCGATTGCCAGCACAAAGGGCACGGTGACGGGGCCGGTGGTCACTCCCGCGCTGTCCCAGGCCACAGCAGTGATCGAGTCCTCGGTAAAGACGGTGAGGACTGCAGCGAGTGTGCGGGTGGGTGGTGGGGTGGTTAGGGACGGTGCTGGGGGGGCAATGCACGGCCCCTGGTGGGCACAGCAAGGCAATGGGACCTGGCAAGTGGGCACGGAGCGGGGCCTGCTGCGCTGACGGGGCCCCAGGCTGGGGGAGGCACAGGCCACGCAAGGTGGGCAGGCACGTGCATGGGCCGGCGATCCAAGGGGCGGGCCGCTGGCTGCGGCGCCCCTGGGCGGCCAGCGAGGCGAGACGGCCCCTTGCTGCGCTGGGACGGCGCTGCGACTCACCCACGGCCACCGCATACTTGGCCAGCAGGAAATAGATGAGGGGGAGGTCGTAGAGGATCTTGAGTGAGCCTGCGGCGCAGCAGGCAGGTGCAGGGCGGGGCTGCGGTGTCAGCACTTGTGGCCACGTTCCCGGCTGGCGGCGCCCGGCGGGCCTGTTGCCCCTGCCTGCCCTTCGGCTGGTGGTTGGCTGGCTGTTCGGGGAAGGTCGGGGAGAGGCGCACCGCAATCCCCTGCCAGCCAGCCGCCCACCAGAGCCACCCACCTGCCACCAGACCGATGCCCACGCCGACGCACACAGCGCCGATGAGCATGCCAGAGGTGAACGTCCCGCCGCTCAGCTTCTCAACAGTCCTGCAGGGAGGCGGGTGGGAGGGCGGGCAATGGAGGCAGGCGGCTGGGCACACGGGGTGTGCAGGCAAGGGAGCAGCACAACCACGCACACCACGGACACGCTGCCACCGCCAGCACCGCAGCCGCCGGCGCTGCCGCCTCGCACCTGCCCAGCACGTTGAGCGCGGGCTCTGCGCGGGTGGCCAGCACCCCCAGGATGAAGAGGACGATGATGGTGAGCACCAGGCCGCCCGCGTAGCTGAAGTATGGAGAGTCTGGGTCGTAGGGCACCTGCAAGGGAGGGGTGGGCGGGAGGGGTATGGGAGGGGTGTGGCGGCAGGGGTATGGGACCGGAGGGGGCCTGCTAAACCTGCTAACAGTACACCCTTTTGTTGGAAACCAACAATAACAGGCCCAGTGGCAGGGGCAGCCAGGGGCAGCAAGGGGTGTGTGGCGGAGACGGGGAGTGTCGACAGGGGAGTGAGTGAGCACAGGGAGCGGCCAAGCAGCGTGACCAGAGCAGCGGCGGCGGCGTGTGCGGCACCGGCGTGGGGGGCGGGGCGTGCCGGCGGGGCCCGCGGCAGCGCGTGGCTGGCAGCGGCGAAAAAGGTGGGATGGCAGGGGCGGCGGCTTCAGCCAGGGTAGCGCCAGCGCCACATGCGGCACACGTGTGGGCAGCGCCGGCGGGCGCCCAGGGCCCACACCCGGTGGGGTGCGCACCTTGAGGAACGAGGCAGGCAGCGTCTCGCCAGTCTGGTTGCCCAGCGTGGTGAAGCCATACGTAAGGCCTGCAGCGCGGGCAGGGGATGGGGCAGGGTAGAGGGCAGACGGGGGCAGATGGGAGGCACCGGGCGCGCGTCAGCCCAGCGGCCTGCCGTGCAGGCGGCGCCAGCCTGGCACCCCGCGACAACACGTCAAGCACAAACATGACAGGCAGGCCCCAGGTAGCAGCAGCAGGCCCCACCGATGTTGAAGGCAATCATTCCAATCTGGCAGACGGCGACGGCCGACATGAAGGCGCCGTGGCGGGCGAAGAACCCGCGCATGCCGCCGCTCTTGGCCGGCGCCGGCGCCTCGGCGACGGCAGCCAGGCCGCCGCTCTCCGCCTGCTCCAGGCCCTTGGCCGCCGCGGCGTCCTTAGCGGCGGCCTTGAGCGCGGCGGAGGCGCCGCGGCCGGCGTGGGCAGTGTCGTCGGCGGCGGCGGCGGCGCGCGGCGTGGCGGCGCCCACGCTGTCGCCATCCGACAGGTCGTCTTTGCCGTCGTTGGCGGCGGCAATCGCCACGGAGGCGCGGTACAGGGCAGAGTACTTGTTGTTGGCTCCCATGGACTGCCGCCCCATGGAGGGGCGTCCCACCGAGGGGCGGCCCAGCGACTCGGCGCCGCTGCGGGAGGAGGCGTCGTCACTGGCGGTGTCGGCGCCGCGGCGGTCGCGCGGCTCCACCGCCCAGCTGCACTGCGGCAGCGGCTTGCGCAGGAGCAGGAGGATGAGGAGGGAGAGGGCGACGACCAGGGGCAGGATGGCGCGGATGGCAAAGATGACCTCCTTGAGGGGCGACCTGCGGGGGAAGGGAGGAAGGGATGACGGGAGGGGGGACGAGAGCATGAGGAGGGTGCCAGCTGGAGAGGCCTGGCCGGCGGCGCGAGCGGAGTGATCCAAGCAATCTGGCAGGCCAGCCAGTCAGCAAGCAAGCCAGCAAGCAAGCAAGCACATGCAAGCAAGCAGGCAAGCGAGTCGGTTCTGTCTCCCCTGCGCCGCCCCTCACTTGTCGATGGCGCTCTCCTCCTGGACCTGCGCGGCATGCTCCTCAGCCATCTCCTTCACCTGCACCACCGCCGGGAAGCAGGCGGGTGGGCAGGCAAGGCAGCGCAGGTGAGCAGGCGGGCTGGAGGCCGCGCCGATGAGCAGGCAGGCGGGCGGGCAGGCGGGGTGGCAGGCTGGCGCGCCTCATCGAAAGAGTACATCAGGGATGTGACGATGCCCAGGCATTCCACCGACAGCACGGGGAAGAGGGAGGCGAGGGTGACGATGCCAAAGCCCTCCAGCGCCTGCCCCGCGCCCGCCGCCACGCTCTGCTCGAGGGCGGCGGTGGCCAGCCGCTTCTGGCGCTGGGAGCGCATCACGCCGATGCCCAGCGCCAGCAGGATCTGGGGGAGAAATGGGGCAGGACGGGGAGGTGGTGGATGGGGGCGTGGTGGGGCTGGGTGCGGCATGGTGCGGCAGGCACGATGGCCAGCGTGCTTCGCTTATGCATGGGGCTGTACATGTGTGGGGGCCGCGGCTGTGACGGAGGGATGGAGGAGTGGAGGCTGGGGGCGTATGCGCGGCGGGGCGCGGGCGCCGGGCGGCTTGCCGCGCCGCGCGTGGCCCCAGCGGGAAGGCCGGGCAGCCAGCAGGCTCCCGTGCCTGGCCCAGGCTCACCGGCACAGTGACGGGGCCTGTGGTCACACCCCCGCAGTCCCAGGACATGCCCAGCAGGGGAGCCAAGTTCACGTTTCCCCACTGCAGGGGGGCGGGTGAGGTGGCGAGGTTTGGGTGGTGGCTGGCACACGCTTTGATCCAGCTCGCCCTGTTCAGGCGCAGCTGCCGCCAGCAGCAAGGCGCTGCAGGCAAGCCTGGCTGCTTGCCTGCATGTAGCAGGAGGCGGCGACTGTGGGTATGAGGGTCAGGTAGATGAGGGGCTTGAGGGGCCTGCAAGAACCACGAGATGGCAGGGAGGGTGAGAGGGGGCTCACGCTGGGGGTTGGAAGGTGATGCCTGCCTGCGGCTTCTCCTCCGCGGCCACCAGCTGCTTGGGGTCGCCTGTGGGTCACCCACAGTGTGGCGAAAGGCCCGCAAGGCGCTGCCACCCGCCGCGCCTCGGAAGCGCAGGATGGGGGCAGGCCCACGCACCAATCGCAGATGAACCGCAGGGTGCCGATGACGGCGGCCACGCCCACGCCCAGTCCGATGCACAGCACCAGAATCTCCTGCAGGCGGCGGGCAGGCGGGCAGGCAGGCGTTGAGGCGGGCCCGGCGGGGCGGGCGGCTCAGGCTCGCTGCCTACTAGATGCACAGAGCAGCCCACAACGCCTCTCCACGCCGCCGCAACCACCGCCCACCTGCTGCTGATTCATCATATAGTAAAGATAGGGTGCCTCTGAGGGATCCACCTGCAGCAATGGAGAGGTGGAGGGCGGGTTCTGCGCGGTGCACGCATGCATGCGTGCGGTCCTGCCGAATCGCAGTGCCAATCCCTGGGCGCTGGCGCGTGCCGGGTGGCGGAGCGAGGCCGGGCCCCTGGGGCTGGGGCCTCGGCGGCGAAGGCGGCCCCGCAGGCAGGTGGCGACGCCAGGGCGCAGCTGGCTGGCTGGCAGGAGCAGTGGTGGCAGCAGCAGCGGGAGGCAGGGGCAGCGGGACGCTCACCAGGGAGGCCAGGGGGCGCAGGGAGGCGATGGCGGGCTCGGCATACGTGACCAGGACTCCCAGGAAGAAGCAGACGATCAGCACCACAGACAAATGCACCTTGGTTGGCAGCTCCGACCCCAGAACCTCGGCAAACGGCTGCAGGCGGGGCGGGGCGGGGCGGCAGGCCACGCGCGGCGGGTCGCCAGCGAGCGCATGGGCGGCGCGTGCCGCACGCATGCCTGCCAGGCAGGCCGTGCAGCTTAGCAGGGCAGGCCAGGGTAAGGCGGGGCTGGGCTGGGCCGGGCGGGGCGGAAGGAAGTGGGCGCACCATGATGCAGACGCGCAGGCCCTCGAGGAAGGCGGCCAGGCCCCAGATGGCGCACACCAGGCCCATGACCTGCAGCCCCGCATCGGCGGGCGCGACCTGGAAAAAGATGGCCAGCACCAGGATCTGCAACAGCACCGAAATACGTGGGGGAGGTTTCTTGGCGTTGCTGAACAGGGGCAGCCTGTGAGGCCCGACCCCGACGCACAGAGTGCCAGCGTGCTGGCGGCGCGGCGGCGGCGGCGGCAGGTGTCGCCCGCTTGCCGCCCGCGGCAGGCAAAGGGGTGCCCAGCCCCGCTCTTATCAGCATCTTATCAGCATGTACTCACCTGGAACAGGCTGATAGGGATGACGGCTGCAATCTGCTCCCTGACTAGCTGCACATAGTGCCAGAAGAGGTCGCGAGCGCCGAGAGACCACCCCCAGCGGACCATCCGCGCCTCCACGCTATCTTCGCAGCGCTCCTTACAGCGCGTCCACCATCCACACACCATGGTGCAGTGCGCCCGTTGAAAGGCGCCCCACAAGCGAACGCCAGGTTAGCCCTAATAAGGCGCTCTATTTATACTACGGGTACCCGGCCGGCCCAGGACTCCCAGCCGAATTGCGAGTGCGACAATAATAGAAAGCTCACTGCTGGAAGGGAGTGTTGTGCGCTGATGCCGTCGCATGCTGCGCGTGGTGTACTGTCCCGCTTCGCGGGAGGGCGGGAGGCCCCCTACCACAGCCAGTATTAGCCCCAACCAGCTGGAACTCGAGTGTGAAGAGCGGAACGGCCGTAGCAGAAGAAACCAGCATAAAGGCGAGGAGTGGCACTGCCGTGCACCGCCGCCGCCGCTGCTGGTGTGTGCTGCTCATCTCTGCAGGGAGCTTTAAATGAGGTGCACCTGGACAGGGATGTTGACTGGAGTCCTCAGAGAGAGCAGTATGGGTATCTTAGCTTGCAGCCTTTTTTGAGGCATGGCTGTCGAACAGTGCGCCAACTTGTCCCACCTCCAAAGCCACAAGCGCGGTAAGCAAAGCCCCAACTGTGTAACTCCAGCGGCTCTATTCGCTTGTCACAAAATTGCTTTGCACAAGCCGAAATCAGCAGCAGGGCGTGAAAACGGGTGAGAGGTACCGCCAAGTGTAAGATGCTAAAACAAGGGTGATCTCCGCATTGCACGGCAGAACAGAACAGGTTGGGAGGCTCGTGCCAAAGCGTGGAACTGACAAACGAAAGCGGCAACCTGGTGAGGGAAGTGATTAGGGAAGAGATGATAAAGAAGGTAGGGAGAGCAAAAGCAGCAAGCAGTGGAGGAAAAAGAGCATTAATTCACCCGGTCATGGACGAGAGTAGGGGAGGGTGGGTGCTGAGGAGAGTGGCGGTCAGGCGAGCAGGAGGAGTGCGGTGATGACGGGAGGAAAGGGGATGGGGCCTGGGCTGTGTGGCTGATCAGAGGCCGGGACATGCCACGGTGCAAAGGCGAGGCAGGTCCCTGCTCTGAGCATGATTGCAGCGCAGGCCCCGCAAGTGGGAGGTGAAAGCAGGTGAAAGCACGGTGGTAAAGGCGAGTGAAGGGAGCAGCATCGCAAGGAGCGACAGCAATATACAGAGTACTAGTTACGGGTATGGGATAAACAATTGGCGGGACTGTCGCAAGCTGGAGGACAAAAGACGGCATGTGTCTCACAGGGAGCAGAGGCAGCCAGAGGGCCTACCACAGAAAGGCACCCAAGCGCATCAAGCGAGGGCCGCCAGCTGACTGCTGGTGCGATCCTCCCAGGCTAGGGTGGCGACAGGTATGGCAAGCAATACGGGTCTGCAGCGCCGGCCAGGCCGTCACAGTTGTTGTCGATGCCGGCCGCGCAGCTGGCGGCGCTCTCGTACAGGCCGCCCCGACGGCAGATTGCCACCACCGCACGGTTATTGGGGTCGTTTGCTTTTCTCCGCACCACCAGGTTGGCTGCTGGCAGCGTCCAGACCTCATTTTCTGCAGCAAGTGCGGGCCAGGGGGCAGAGTGGGACAGAGGCCACGACGGGGCGCCTGTGGCGTGTGCGCTGCAGCCTCAGCCTTGCAGCCCAGCCGGCAGCCCCAGCGTTGGTGCAGCGGTGGCTCACGTCTGAGGCTGGCTCTCAAGTAACTGGGCTTGGCATCGCGGCTGCCGCTGATGGATGAGGAGTAGATGTGGACGCGGTTGGACAGCGACAGCGGCAGGAACTCGTCCCCGCGCACAGACCAGCGGAAGCCCACAAAAATGGGGTCTACGCCGGGGGCCCAGGTGGGCACGATGCGGATGGCAGACATGCCGGGGGACACAGACCCAATGCCCAGGAAGCTTTCGTAGGTGGTGGCGGCCGGCAGGTTGGAGCCGTTGAATGTCCGCGTGGTCGTCCAGCCCATCTGCCACGCATGGGGCGCGTTCATGCAGCGGTCCTCGCAGCACGTGCCCATGTCGCAGGTGACGTCTCCGTACCTGCAGCAGCACAGGACAAGGAAAGGGTGTCCTTCTTGTCAATGGCTTCATTGAGCAGAAGGCGGTGTTAGGTGCCAGGCACTGGGGCGTCTTTTGAGCGCGGGCAGCAAGCGCCATATCGCAGGCAGCACCTCTGTGCAACCTCCCCGGCATGCAGCTGGCTGGCTGGCCGGAGGGCGGGCTAGGAGCCAAAGCAGCGCTGGCTGTGGAGGGGGGCACTCACTCGTCAATGTTGCCATTAGCGTCCAGAGAGCTCGAGTGCTGCATAAACAGGTTGTGGCCCAGCTCATGTGCCGTGGCCTGGAGGGGGGTTTCAAGGAAGGGGGGAGGGTCAAGGAAGAGGGCAGGTAACCAACCAGCACGACAGGGCGGTGCGCGGTCAGCAGCCCTGATGTGGCGCCCAGCAGCGCTCGCCCCACTGTGCCGCACCGCCGCCCCCAGCCCTGCCGCCCAGCAGGCTGCGCGCGCCTCCCACCTGCGGGTTGTCCCAGTAGGCTCCGGCGATCCAGGATCGGCAGTCGTAGGAGCCGTCGCAGCCGATGTAGCCCTGGCCCACCCAGGAGCAGGCGTTGGGGGGCAGGAAGTAGACTTTGTAGGGGTAGGCGGCCAGGTTATAGCCGCGGTCAATCAGCACTTGGTCGGCGGCATCCGCGAAGCCGTTGAAATCATCAAAGTCGCAGTCGTTGAAATTCCAGTTGATGCCCCACCTGCAAGGCAGAGCCGAGGGCAGTGCGGCGAGTGAGCCTTGGGCAAAGCCTGGGCAGCGGCATGCGGCAGAGGGAGGGGCTGGCAGCCTGGGGCAGGTCCTGCCATCTACCGTCCAGCAGCCGGAGAACAGTCTTTCATGCGGCTGGCAAGGCAGTGCCAAGAAGGGGCGGGACAGGTGGCATGCGCGGGGGCGGGCAGCACCAGCGCCAGCAGGCGGCTGGCTGGGCGGCGGCCAGCATGCGCGCAGCCAGCCGCAGAGGCGCTCACGTGGTGCCGTTGCAGGGCAGGGTGACGACTGCCGTCACTGTGCTGGTCGCGTTTGTCAGCAGCGTCTCGTTGAGGGAGCACTGCAGCGGGAAGGGCAACCAGGCGAGCAGCCAGCGTTGCAATCCCGACATGCACCGCGCTGCGTGCGGCGTCGCGCGCAGGCCGGCGCCCCGCCTTGCCCAGCCAGCAGTGCACCGCCCGGGCACCTACCTGGCTGTACATCATCCCGACGGTGGGCCCCTCCGGGTTCACCTCCTGGAACATATATTCCCTGAGCCCAGCCCCAGTGTAGGGGTAGTTGCCGGTGTTGGGGCAGAGGGCCGAGCTGGAGCCGTTGACCTTTGCCACGACTGCAGCAGGAGGGACGGCGTGGGCAGCCAGGCCGAGGGTGGGCAGGGGGAGGGGCGTGCGGAGGTGGGGGCACGTGTAGCACGGGCGCAGCTGCTGGCGAGAAGGGCGCCGGCCCGGTGGCAGGCAGAGGTTGGTGGTGGTGGGCCAAGTGGGGAGTCGCGGCGGGGGGCCTGCAGCGCCACGCCTCCAGCCCTACCCCGCCCGCCTCCTGCGCCGCACGCCCTCCACAGCACAAGGCCGGCCAGCCAGCCAGCCAGCTGCGGCTAGGGCAACCGCACAATCAGGCGGGTGAGGCCGGCCTGGACAGGGCGGCACTGTGGGGACGGGGCCTCACTTGGGATGAAGAGAACCTTGATGTTTTGAAGGGCGACCGGGTTGAATGTATTGAAGGGCACGCCAGGGGTGAGGTTGACGGTTTGCAGCAGGCGCCGCCCGTTCATGCCTGGCATCAGCTCGGCAGCATCCAGTGTGGGCCACACCTCCGGCTCCACCCAAGGCGCCACGATGGCTGCGGTTGGAGGGGGGGGGGGGGCGGCGGCAACAGCGGCACAGGTCGGCACGATGCGGCGGGCGCAGCCAGGCCCCCCCTGCACCGCGCTGCTGGCGGGGCCAGGGGCTGGCAGGGTGCGGCTGTGGCTTGTGCACGGTGCTGGGCGCTGCTTGCTGGCCAGCGGGCCCCGGAAGGCATGCGCTGGCGGAGCGGCCACACCCGCGGCGCCGGCGGGCAGCTGCTACCAGCGCCGCTCCGCTGGGCCGTTTTTTTCCCTCGTGGCTGCACTCACGTTCGGGCACCGGGGGGTGGGAGCCGCCGATGACGACGTCGGCTTTGAACCTGCCAAACGCGTTGCCGTTGCCCGGCGACGTGTCGTACTCGCCGGTCGCCGACACCTGCTGGCCTGAGCGTAATTTGCGGAGGACCGAAGGGTCCGAGGGGATGACTTTCACTTTGCGGCCATCGTGCCTGCGGAGAATGAGGGACCTGCAGAGGGGCGGCGGGCACATCGAGGGCACGCAGGGGGCGCAGTGAGGACACAACGCCGCGCGCCGGGGGCGGCACCGCGCCCAACGGAGGGCCCGCGGCCTTCTGGCACGCCTCACTTGTCGGCTCGGCCTCCTGGGTAGTCAGCTGCCAGCAGCAGGCCCGTTCCTGCGGGGGATAGTGCACGGCGAGCAGCGTGGATGCGAGCCTGAAGCTCTCTCCCCCGCTCGTCCGCGGGCCTGCCCGCCCGCCGCGCACCCTCTATGGTGGCCTTCTTGTCTTGCAGCAGCGTGCGAGGCCGACTGGCGTGGTTCGGCGCTGCTGCACGCTTGGCGATTTGAACAGAACCACGTGCCGCCGAGCTGCGGCCGCAGTTTCCGGCCCACGGTCTACGGTCGCAGCCACGGGACTCGGCGGCACGGCGTTTGGGCCCAAGCTTGCTGCCGCCGCCGCCGTGCCCGGGGGGCAGCGCGGCGGCGGCGGGGGCACGCTGCGACGCCCCCGTGCTGCCGAGTTGCGGCCGTAGTTTCCTGCCAGAAGCCCACGGCCACAGCCACGGGACTCGGCGGCACGGCGTTTCGGTCCACGGCTTGCTGCCGCCGCCGTCGCAGGGGTGCTGCCTGCGGCGGCGGCGGCACGGCGTTTGGGTCCACGGCTTGCTGCCGCTGCCGCCGCCGCAGGGGTGCTGCCTGCGGCGGCGGCGGTAGCGCACGTGGCAACCCCCCGCGTTTCCTTGCCTCCCATCCACCGGACCCCGTCCTGCGCTTCACTTTGTTTAGGGAGGGGCTGCTCACTGCTCATTGCTCATTGCTCATCGCACACTGCTCAACGCTCATTGCCCTATATCCCACCCAGCCGCAGGACTCCACTGCCGCCCGCGCCCCGCCCCATCTGGCCGCTTGCGCGCCCCATCCCCCCTCGATGGGGCCCGCCCACACCGGGGCCTCCCCCCTCCCGCCCACTGCTTTCTCAACGGCCCCGAGCCGGGGCTGCCCTCATTGCATACATAGTGCGCCTTTCCCTGCTTTTCTAGTGACCTAGCGTTCCGCACTGCCGTTTGGCCAGCCCATGCTCCCGTACCGTTGCGTTTCTCCCCAATGCGCCATGCCACTTTGCCAGTCATACACACGTTTCGATGCGTGCCCTGTCAGCTGCTTGCGTTGCATGTCGCCTTGCTCCACCCCTGTTTTATTGCTTTCTCTGCTTTCGCCCGGTTCCCGTCCCGTTTCGGCGGGGAGTCTATGTTGCAAGCTAGTTCTTGCTTTACCAGACTTTAAGCCCACACAAGCACAAGCACAGCGACGTCGGTGGCAGTCAGCAGCGCCAGCACCAGCCCGAGGGCTGCGGAGGGCGGGAGGAGTACCATGGGGATGCACACACGCCCGCGAACGAGGAGAGGAGGATGAATGAGGCGAGTATCCCGCGCCGAAGCTGGAAGTCGGCCCGGGGGGGAGGCAAGAAGGTCAGAGCCCAAAATGCAGCGGCGAACAGGCATACATCATCTCCCTGTCCCGCCGGGGGGTGCTACAGGAAGGACACGCGCCCTAGCGCCCGCAAAACGGCGGCAAGCCCTCTTGGGGAAGGATGAGTCCCTTGGGCGAAGCCAATAGGCCTATGGCGTGTGCCAGCAGCATCAGAGGAGCGTCAGCGGCATGGGAGCCTGATGTCAACATGTGCGACGCAGCCACCACTCGGCTCTGCCTTCCCGCCGCCGCTTGATGCCGCTCCCCAGCTGTGGGCAGCTTAGAGCTGCCTCTTGAACCCTGCTCCAGCCTGTAATCCAGCGTGAATCTTGGTAGCAGGATTCATTATGCTGTTTGGCCTGACTGCCGGCAGCGACCACTCGACCGAAGTGCCGGACGCGACGCCGTCGCCGGCGTGCAGCCTTGAGAGCTTGAAGCCTCTCGACAGGGCCCCCACCTCGGCACCGGCACCTCTGGATGTAATCGAGGGCAAGAAGGGGATTTTGAAACCAAGTCGAAAGAGATATACTGGGCTCAGGTCATTTTCAGTATTGGGAGGAGTGCATGTTGGAGGGACGATGAGCTGGATCCTGCCGTGGGAGCAGTCGTTATAGGAGGAGCCGACGCTGGCGTTGCCGGTGGACAGCTCCTCACAGATCTGGGCCCTGACCTGCGCCGTGCTCTTGGCGGGGGCTTGGAGGTGACGGGCAGGCGGCGCCGCCGGCGGCCAGCGTCTGGATGCGGGGCAGGAAGCCAGGGAGCAGAGGGCCGGCTGGGTGGGTGCGACAGGAGCAGTGATGCCGGCAGGCTGCGGGCAGGGCAGCTCACTTGGCATGTGTTGAAGATGACCCTGACGAGAGGGTTGCCGACGGGGTTGGAGGTGACGACGGGCGGCGGCTGGGAGGCCAGCTGCGGTCAAAGCCGTGCAGATCGGCAATTCAGCTTCCAAATCCCCAGCAGCAATTCCCAGGCGTGTCTTTAAACTTTCAACCCAACATTGCAGCCGAAACCGCATCAACAAAGCCGGCAGCTGGGATGCCATCTGGGGTCTAACCCAGCGCTGCCCAGCGCTGGCCAGGGCTCAGCGCTGATTGGTGGGAAGTTTTGGACAAGTGCTGGCAAGTGCTGGCACATGCAGCGCTGAGAGGGCACTTGTGCTGGGCGGTGCTGAGCTGGCGCTTGCGCTGGGCGGTGCTGGTCAGCGCTGCTGCCGCCTGCGCTGCCCAGCACTTGTGGTGCCTGGCACTGGGGAGCAATGGGAAGACTACACTGCTTTACAAGGCTTTGTACAAACAAGGGAACAGGAAAGAATGTCAAGGAACATCAGGTACAGGCCGGTTGGCGGCGGCAGTGCCACATAAGCGCGTAGCGGAGGAAGCGTGAGGCAGCAAGGCGAGAATACAAGCAAGGAGAGAATACGGTGACAGATCGGCTGGATGAATAGAAATCATGAGGGAATAGACGATGATTGCATGAATAGCTGCAAGCAAATGGGCGTCGGGAGCAAGCGGGGGAGCTAGGCGGGCGCCGCGACAGCGCTCAAAGGGGGAGGGGCAGGGAGGCGCGGTGTGGCTGACAAGGTGTGGCCGCAGCCGCCGCTCGTCACTCGTCCTCGTCCTCCTCGTCATCCGAGCCAGCACCGCAGGTGACGTTGGGGTCGCGCCGGTGCCGCACATCCCGCAGCCGCTGCTCGTACTTGGTTTTGAATGCACTGCTGTCCGAGTCTGGCATGGACTCTCCTTTCAGCTTGTACTCAATCTGCAGCTCAGCAAGGGTGAGATCAAGCAAGGGTGAGCTCGGCAAGGGTGATCAGCAGCCAGGTGAGGGCGCATCGCAGCGTCGCCTCCATGCCGCCAGGCAGCAGGCTGCTCCTGCTCCTGTGCCGCAGCAAGAGCCGCCGGCCAGCCAGCCGGCCAGCCAGCAGCGAGGGGTTGGGAAACACCCCAACACCGGCTGGAGCAGAAACACCGGCACGACCACCGCCCTTGCCCTCTCAACAACAACCAGCTGCCGCACTCACTGCCAGCTCAGCATAGGCCACAGCCGGGGCAGGCAGGCCCATGTCCTCAATGTCCTCCGCCTCGGGCAGCTTCTCGCGCTTGATGGCATACGCAAGATGCACCACGTGGCGCGAGGGTAGCCCGAGTCGTCGGAGGAGCCTGCATAGAGGTGGTGCTCGCCTGCCGGAGGAGGGCAGAGTTGAGGCAGGGGCAGCGGGGGTCAAGGAGAGGCGGCAGCGAGGGTTGCCTTGCGCTGCTTGTGCTGTCTGTGCCCTGCCCTCGGCAACCCGGCAGTATAAGCCAGCGCTGACGCTAACAGTACCGCATCCGACATGCAGGCGGGAGCCATCGCACCTGCCAGCACCTCCTCGGCCAGCTCACGGTCCACCTTGCCGTCGATGTACGGCGCTAGACCGCCCAGCCCGCCGCGGTCGGCGGCATAGAAGATCTGCATGGCGGCGCGGGTGCGGGCAGCCAGCTGGTTGCGCTCGTCACGCACCACCTTTGACACCTGCAGGCGCAAGCAGCGGCGGGGCGGGCAGGAAATAGGAGGCTGGAGACAGGACCAGTCTGTAGACCTGTGCCTTCGGCAACCCAAGACCGAATCCCCCAACGGCACACACACTGACTGAGCCGGCTGCCTAGCTGCGCCGCTGGTGCCCAGCGAGCCCGTCACAGCTTAGGCTGGCGCCCAGCAATGAGAGGGGCCAGGGCTTACGACGGTGCGGGCCTCATCAAAGTCCCCGATGCTCTCCTGCAGCCTGGCCACGGTCTTGGCGTCTTGGTAGCAACGCAGGAAGATGGAGTTGATGGGGGAGAGGCATCCCTGGCCCGTTCGCGTGGCTGCCTCTCGCCCTGCAGCAAGGGAGAGGAGGGAGAAATGAGGGCAGGCGGAACGGCGAATGGGGAAGGGTGGTATGTGGTGGGTGCCGACCTTGCCGCGGCCCTCTTCTGCCACAGCCAGCTGCGAAGCAGCCCGCCCGCGCCTGCCGCGCGCAGCCATACCGCCCGCTGGCATCTCCTCCTGCAGGATGGGCAGGGGGGGAGGGCAGGGCGGGTGGCGGGCGAGGCGGGGACGGGTCTGGGAGACAGCTGGGTGAAAGGGTGGTGTTGCAGGCCGGCGGTGGGTGTTCACCGCGCCGCTGGCCAGGCCCACCTCTTCTGCCGGCTCGGTGTGACCTCTGGCTCTCCTGGCTGGAGGAGCCTGCCTCCCGCCTGCTGCCCCGCGAGTCGCCGTCTGTCGCACGAGCGGGTCGGGAGGCGGTCAGCGAGGCGGTCAGCGGGGGCCTGGCGGCAGCCGTCGGCAGGGCGCTAGAAGACCACACGGGCGGCTGACCTTGCGCTGAGTGCCACGCTGAGCGCGTGCGCCCAGCGGCGCATCGGGCTGGCTCGCAGGGCCGCCTCCCGAAGCGGGCATGGCTGCTTCTGAGCACACGCTGTGCGGAGCACACCAGGGCGGAGATAGGAGTGCGGAGGACTGCGGGAAAGGGCTAGGAAGTGGTCACCGGGACAGGACGAAGTACAGCTTCAAAGCCAGTGCTCCAGATAAACCTTCTGCTGCACAAGGAGAAGTTGTTTCCTGATGGCAACGTGCCCAGGTTGCGGGTTGTTCTTTCAGGTTGAGCATCCACCTGCAGAGGAACCAGCCGCGGCCAGCGCAAGGCAGCAGCCAAAACGGATGAACGAGAAAGGAAGAGGATCGCCGGCGATCCCAGGGAGGACAGCGGCTCAAAGCGCCACCGCCGCGATGAGCGGGCCGCCACCGCCCGCACCCCGGCTGCACCTGCCGGCCCGCAGCAGCAGCAGGCCTGGCAGCAGCTGGATGGACTGGATGAAGCAGACCTGGCAGGTGCCTGGGCTGCCGACACGCCCGGCCTACAACAGTCCATCCGCCAGCAGCTGACCCCCGCCGCCGTCGCCGCCGCGGCGCGGCCAGCGGTGCAGCTCCCTGAGGCGGCCGTCTCTCTCGGCATTCTGGACCGCAACGAGGACATGGAGGCTGTCCCGAGCTATGTCAGCGAAGACGAGGGCAATGCTGAGGTGGCGCAGCACCTGCCTCGGCTCCAGCACCTTTCGGAGCTGCTCACCACGCCGGAGAAGGTTGTCCTTGAGACGTGACCGCGTGTGCTGTGGCTGCTCCTGATCATTTCGTTTGCATGGCTGCTGCCACACCTGGCGGCTCAGCACACAACCCCCACCATCTTGTCCTCACCTCTCCGCCCCTCGCCCATGCACTGCGCTATTGTGCAGTCTACCTCAAGTTCGGGGCGCTGGTTGATCGGGAGCAGCACTCCGACGAGACGCTGGAGGAGATGCGGCTGCTCGCCATCAGGTGCGGCAGCAAGCGCGGGTCTGGAGCGCGCTGATGTGCTCGGGGCAGGCGCTGACCATCAGCTAGCGCTGTGGCTCATCTACCAACAGCAGCGGCCTGCTGCCTCGCTTGCTACTCCCATTGCAGCTCCTTGCACAACCCGACTGGGGCACCTGCCTGACGCTTGCGTACCACCACTTGCGTACCGCCGCTGCTGGTGCAGGGGCAAGAGTGGCGAGCTGTGGTTTGGGCGGCTGGTGGCGCTGGTGCAGACCGGCGCGCGGCAGGCTGACAGCAGCCAGTGGGCGTACGTGCGTTGGCTGGAGCAGGCTGGCCCAACCACTGCCAGGAAGGCGCTGGAGATGGTGCGGCTGCGCTAGTGCTTCCAGCAGCGCCGCCTGCCCACCGGCCGCAAGCAGCTGCTGCCCTTCTATGACCTGATCCCGCTGGGTGACATTATCGAGCCGGTGTTCTTGCAGCACGATCGCAGCAGCAGCGCAGACGACGAGCAGAAAGTGCGCTGGTACTACAACCACTTTGTGCGGGGATGATGAGATGCGCTGCCGCTGCTACCTCGATGCATCCATTCACCTCTGTCGCACTCCTTGGCATGCATTCTTTTCCATTCTTTCACATCTCCCTTCCGCATGGTTCAATGATGCGGCCGCAGCCCTGCCCCCCATCCGCCCCACTTGTGTTTGGCGCTCGCTTCTGGCCGCGCCGCCACCCCTACCGTTTTGCCGCATCGCCCGGCCCTGCGTTTGCTGCTCACAGGAGTGTAAGCCGACTCAGAACAGCCAAGGGGCACGATGCCAGGGCTCCCCAAGGTGCCACAGTGTGGCCAGTACCGCATTGGCACTGGTCAGCGTCAGCGCCCCGTCAGCACTGGGGCGCATGTACTGGCGGGCGCAAGGACCGGCCGCCACTGAAGCTGCGGCGCTGCCCAGCGCTGCCCAGCGCCAGCGCCCTCTCAGCACCGCCCCGTGGGGCGCTTCCCAGCACTGGTCAGGGGGCCGTTCTGGCCAGTGCTGGGCAGCGCTGGGTTAGACCCCAGATGTGTGATCGGTGCATTCAATGATTGGGCCTGCAGGCGTGTGAGGTGCGATGATGTGAGGAAGTTGGAAGAGCTGGCGGGATGACAGCGATGTGGGTCCTCCCAGTGCACGTCAGTTGTGCCCCCCTAAGGGTGGAGCCCGGATGGGGCCTTCCAACCCCCAACCGGAGCCTCAATCTGAACATTTCAGGAGCTCATATCGCTTGATTTCGACGACAGTTTGCTAGCTTGAAGCCCACAAGCCACACAGGCGGCTCGGAGAACAGTGGGCAACTGCGGAGCGGCCACTTCCGCTGACGCCGCTGGGGCAGCAGGTCTAGCGGCAGGCTCTTGGCAAGTCATCGGACATTCCCTGCTCACACGCAGAATAGGCTTAAATGAGGGTGTTGGGTCCCATACCCATTAGCATTGTCAAAAGAGATAAGTGACGGGTAAAATGAGGTGAATACAGCACAAGGGATGAGCGGAGCAATGGCAACGGGATAAGCACCAACGCTTTTGCGGCGGCCAGCACATGCAGGGTGAGAGCAGGAGGGGTGAACCGGATGGCGCGCATTTTGCTCTGGGCATGAATTTGGGACTTGGAAGAGTACGAAAGGAGAGTGCGGCAGTGAGAAATGGGTACATGCGGCGGTCATTGTGCAACAGCGGGGAAGATCGCTGGGCCTGGCTGGAAGGGCGGCAACGCTGCTACAAGGGCTACAGGTGCATTGCAGCTGCAGTATGCGTGGGGGGAGTGGGGTCAACAAGCAAGTGGCGGCGAATGCTGGAGGTGGGGCAGGATACAGTAGACTACGTATAGTGCGGGTAGCAGGAAACTGGGTAGGTCATTAGAGATGTGACCGAAAAGAACCAAATTATAAGAGTGCAAAAAAGAGGGAAGAGGGTAGCGTATCAGTATGAGGGGCATGGTTAAGAGCTCTTTTGAATACAGATGGCGGGACGGACAGCGCAATCCCAGGTCAGGTGGGTAGTGGGGGCAGGAAGCCCATGCACAGCGGGTCCTCGTAGCCGGCCAGGCCGTCGCAGTTGTTGTCGACGGCAGCAGCGCAGCTGGCGGCGGTCTCGTACAGGCCGCCTCGACGGCAGATTTGCACGACGGCAAGGGCGGGGGAGGTGCTGCTGGATCTCCGCACCACCAGGTTGGCGGCTACAAACGTCCACGACTCATCCACTGCAGCAGGCAGGCAACACACAAGGGGGCCAGGGGGAGGCATTTGGAGGGATGGGCAGCTGGGGCACCTGGTGAGGCCACGGTGCAGCGCAGCTTATGTGCACCCCCAACCCCCGGCACAGCCAGCCACACCCACCTCTCAGGGACGCTCTCAACACAGTGGGCTGGGCGTCGCGGTAGTGGCTGATTTTGGAGGTGTAGATGTGTATCCGCCTGGTCAGAGATGGCGGCAGGAACTCGTCCCCTCGCACGGCCCAGCGGAAGCCCACAAAAATGGGGTCCACGCCGGGGGCCCAGGTGGGCACGATGCGGATGCCAGACAGGTTGGGGGACACCGCCTGCACCCCCATGCTGGTGTTGTACGTGGCTGCTGCCGGCAGGCTGGTGCCGTTCAGGTGGCGCACATTGAGCCAGCCCATCTGCCACGCGTGGGGCGTGTTGAGGCAGCGGTTCTCGCAGCACGTGCCCATCTGGCAGGTGCCGTCGCCGTACCTGCAGCAGCGCAGGCGGCATTACAGCCAGCATGAGGGGAGAGAGTGGTGCGGGAGCCACCAAGGCGCGGCACCCCCTGCATGCAGCCCTGCGCCCCGCATGTGCATGGAAACGGAAGGCACAGGCGCGGGGCGCAAACAAGTTGGGCCGGGCATCAGGAGCAGGCGCGCCCACTCACTCATCAAAGGCCCCGTTGCTGCTGAGGAAACTAGCGTGCTGCATGAACAAGTTGTGGCCCAGCTCGTGAGAAATGGCCTGCAAGAAAGAAGAGGGTGACGCAAAGGGGAGGAGGGACGCACAAGTATAGCTCAAGCTCAGCACTACTGTAGTCCCAGCAGGGATGCAACCACAAGGCCGGAGCCAGGCAGGCGCGGGGTTATCGAGGAAAGCTTGGTCACAGCGGGAGCAAAGCAGCACAGCTGCTGCGGGCCGCGCCTGCACCTGCAAGTGCTGGTGCCAGCGCCACCCGCTGCCGCCGCACAGGCGGTGCATGCGCTGTGGTGTGGCCCTGCTCGCCCACCTGCGGGTTGCCCCAGTGGCTTCCGGAAACCCAGGCTCGGCAGTCGTAGGAGCCGTCGCAGCCGATGTATCCCAGGCCCACCCAGGCGCAGGCGTTGGGGGGCAGGAAGTAGACTTTGAAAGGGTAGGCGCCCAGGTTGACGCCGCGCCTGGTCAGCTCTTGGTCGGCGGCATCCGCGTAGCCGTTGAAATCCTCAAACTCGCAGGTATTGACCGTCCACTTGACATCCCACCTGCGGAGCAGGAGGTGCAGCGGGGTGCGCAGGCAGGTGGTAGGTAGGACGCGGGCAGGAGCAGCCGGCCATCCCCGAGCCGGGTTGGCCAGTCGGCGGGAAGCGGCTGGCAGCAGGGGAGCTGCCGCCACCACAGCATCGCACGGCTTGTGCCGCTGGCAGGCAGCCGTGCAGGCAGGCCCACTCACGAAGTGCCGTTGCAAGGGATGGGCACAACGTTAACGACGACGCTAGGCGGCGCGATGCTGCTGTCATTTGTCAAGACGGTCTTGCTGAACGAGCACTGCAGCAGCGGCGGCGGTAGAGGCGGCAGCGGGTTGCCCAGGAGGATGCCGGGGCGGGGCGAGGCGAGCAAGCAAGAGAGGGCGGCTGGCGCTGGAGGCGCTGGAGCTCGAGGGCGCATTTGGGCGCTGGGCGCTGGGCGCATGCACCACCCACTGGCTGCGTGCCGCCCGTGCCCAGCGCATGGCTGTGGCACCACATCGCAGACGAGAGCTGCGCCGGGCGAGCGCACACGCACATGCACACCCACACGCACACGCACACGCACACGCACACGCACACGCACACGCACACGCACACGCACACGCACACACACACGCACACGCACACGCACACGCACACACACACACGGCCGCTCACCTCGTTGAAGTGTTTGCTGACTGAGGAGCCGGTGTCTGAGAAGACCACATCCCTCAGCTCCGCGCTGGTCAGCGGGTTCTTGGAGGTGCCGGGGCAGTAGACGCCGCTCGAGGACTGGTGCACGACTGCAGGCGGGTCGCAGGAGGGCGGGCGACGCCGGCGTGTGTGGTGTGCAGCGTGCGGGCGTTTGGGTGTGGGGGTTGAGGAGGGGAGGGCACGGGGGCGGCAGTCGTGGCATCAGCGCCGGCGCTGGCGCCGCCAACTTTCTGTTGTCGTTTGCTAAGCAGGCGAGGCGCTCACTTGGGATGAAGAGGACCCGCATGTTGCCCACGGCCAGCTGGTTCATCACGGCGACGATGGGGCCAGCAGGCGCCTGTGCCCCTGCCCCAGCAGCTCCTGCTCCCACTCCTCTGCCGGGGTTCCACGAATTGCGTCTCGACGGCTGCAGGGCGGCGCCGACAGGGCAGCAGGACGGCTCAGGCAGGCAGCGGCGCAGGCGGTGGAGGGGGAGCGGTTGCGCTGGCTGGCTGGGGGCCGCGCATGACGTTCTGGAGGCGTAGCACCCGAGCGGGTGGGCTTGCTGGCTGCGCCTGGAAGGCGGCGGGGCACGGCTGGGGCAGCGGGCAGCCTGCAAGGCCTCGTGGCGTGCCCCGCGGCGGCCCGCTCACCGGCGGGCGGCTCCCAGGGCGGGCTGACGTCGCGGATGGCGTCGGCTCGGAGGACGGGAGGCTCGCCTTGGCTGCGCGCCGCGCCCATGTCAAGGGCATGGCCCGCCACCCAAATGCCGGTGGCCTCCACCCTCATCCCCGTGTGCAGCCCGGCCAGCATCTTCTCCGAGCGCAGGCGCAGCTGCACCCGGTGCCCGCTGTCTCTGCACAGCGCCACGATCCTGCGGCGGGGCAGCGGCGTGGCCGTCGGCGAAGGGAAGCCACGGTAGAGGCTGGCGCCACCCCCGGTAGCCGCCCCCGGGCTCTGCTGTCGCAGCCGCTGCTCAGGGCACGGGCGGCAGAGCGGCAGGGAGCAGGGCAGGCCAGGGCAGGCAGCGGGCTGGCGGCCCTCCCTCCACCCTGCGCCTCTCACGTGCGAGAGCTCCTCCCAGCATACTCCACATCCATAATGATCACTGTCCCTGCCCAGGACAGCGGCACAGCGGCAGCTGGTGAGTGCTGCTGTGCAAGCCAGGGGGCGGCAGCGGGCCCCGTGGCTTGCCCGACGCGGAAGAGGAGGGGAGGCGAGCCGGGACCACGGCACGACCAGAGTGGGCAGCCCAATGCCAGCGGTGCCCCAGGGAGGGGCACCAGCGTGCAGGCCGCAGTGGGCTGGCGGAGCTGGCGAGAGAGGCTCAGGCTATGTTGTTACAGCCAGCGGTAAGAGGGGGCAGTAAGGAGTGTATCCGCCGAGGAAGCCGCCGCCGCGGCTGGGCCCGCCCCAGCTTCACCCCCCAGCCAACCCGCTCCCCCGCCGGCCTTGCTGCTGTCCGTGGGACTGGGCCGACCAGTAACAGCGCTCAAGCGGCAAAGGAGCCCTATCCGGCGGGAGGAGAGCGAGTCGGGACCATGCGCCAGATGCAAAGACCCTACCCGCTTACCGGACAGGAGGGTCCTCTGGGGGCCTGCTTGGAGCAGCCGGCGGCCCGTGGAGGTGTGAGTGACTCTGGCGGCGAGCAGGATGAGCACCGCGAACAGCGCCCAAGTTCGAAGGCCCAGGCTTGCCTCCATGAGTGCTCGCTCTGGGAGAAGCAAAGGGATCGGTGGAGTAAAGTGAATCCACCGCGGTCCACGTTACAGGTGTGAGGGCAAGGAGACCAGCTTCGTGCTGGCTCTTTGTCTCCACAGCTACGGGAAAATGGGGAAGGGGTCACCAACGCACCTCTCTCGTCCCGATAGCGACGAGACAAAGAGGGAAGAGGAGGAAAACGATGTTCAGCGCCCCCGGTTCACCCCCACCTCCAGAGCCCAAAGCCCCTTTTATTAGCTGGTGGTAAAGGTAAAGGTAAAGGTGGGGAAGAGCCTCCACAGGCTTAACTTCCCGGTTTTAACGTCTAGCTTTAGACCATTATTTGATCTGCCCGACGCGCCAAGTGCAGTACCCCCCACTAGTAGTGAATGGGTCCCGGGGAGGCCTGTGCCGAAGCCTTGGCGATTCTAATAGGCGTTCCCGAAGGAATTGGCTTGGATTGGCGCTGAGCCGGTCAGCTATGCCGCGTTTGTCCTCACAAAGTTTCGACATGGGAGGAATCGAACCTGTGCCCTCTCGGAGGGTTTAGACACTAGCTCCAGCGCCTTCAAAGAAGGCCTTTCTTAGCCGCGGCCCAAACGCGCAGATGTTGCATGGCATGGGGTGTGAAAGTGGAGGGCGACTGAAGAAACGTCGTGCATGGAGCCTCTGCTTATGCCGCCGGCTCCGCCGGCGGGCCGCCGCGCCACCCCAGCGCCTGCGCCGTGCCAGCAATGCCATCCATAACAACGAGCGTGGCACTGCTGCAAACTCTGTGCCGATGCGTCTGCTGCACCGATGCTCCTGGGCATCCGCCGCAGAGTGCAGCCAGCTCAGATTGCTGGGCCAGCGTCGGCACCGGTCGCCAAGGCGGAAGCGCCTCAAAAGCGCCTCCCTGGGCGGTAACAGCTGTCCTGCAGGGTCCTCGGCATGGGCCGGAATGCTTGGCATGGGCACACTACCGCATGAAAGGCTTGGTAATAAAGGCTGAATGTGCAGGATGATGGACGCACAGATAACATAGCACAGCACAGCACAGCACAGCACAGCAGCAGCACAGCAGCAGCGCGTGCCTCTTGGGCGGTCCAAAATTGTGCAGGTTGTCAAGAGAGCTGGCGGCTTTCAGCAGCGCTCACAAGCACAGTCCTCCTCTGCTCTCTGTGCCCCTGACCGCACGCTCCTCGCTGGTGCACACCCCTAGCTCAGCTAGGTTGCTACTGCAGCAGAGACTTAGCAGAGATTTGGCAGACTCAGCAGCCTGGGCAGCAATGCAGCGCTGCAGCCTGAACGTTGCGGCGGCAACGCTGCAAGTGGTAGTGGTTCATCTCCTGTTCTCTGCTGCTGCGGCGGCGGCGGCACGCGGCCCGCCCGCCTCTGCCCCATCCGACGCCTTTGACGTGATCCCTCCGGCGGCACGGCACACCAGTGAGTGAACAGCGCCCGCCACGGAGCAGCCGCAGGCAGGCGGCGGATGGCGAGCAGGCGGGCGCCAGACCGCCACGCTGCCGCGCCGCTACCTGCGATGCGTGCCGCCGTCGGCCTGCCTGACCTGCTTGCCTGCCACGCGTGCTTGCAGCCGGCGCGGACCCATTGGGCAGCAGCGGCGAGAGCGTGGAGGGCCAGCTGCTGGAGCCAGAGGACCGGTTCCTCAAGGCAGCAGACTACACACCGCTGCCAACCGCCATGCCGCAGCGGCCCTGGGCTGCGCAGCGCCCCGCCGAGCCCGCCGTGCCGCACAGCGCGGCGGAAACCGCCCTCCCTCCCGCCGGCGAGCTGTGGGAGCCAGCGGCTGCGGCCGCGGCTGGGTCGGGGCAGGCGTCAGCCGCAGGGGTGGCCAGCGGGAAGGCTGGGGCTGCGGCGTGAGGCAGCTGGGCCCATGCCCCCTCTCTGTTGCCACACCATTGATGTACCCAACTTATTGCAACACACGTCTGCGCACAGCAAGGCTGGGCGGCGCGCACTACATCATCCTTGCTGCAGCGCGCCAGGAGCGGCAGCGCCGGCCGGGATGCGCCGCCGCCTCGCGGAGCGGCCGTCGGCGCCTGTGTGCACGACCAGCGCCTGCCCCACAGCCCACAGCGCATCGACCTGAGCCTCGGAAGAGATGTATGCTACAGCCGGTTCAGAAGGGTCCAGGGCGCAGGCAAGGAACAGCTGGCCGACAGCCGCAACTGTATTTGTGTGCTGCCGCTACTCTTTGACGATGCACTCCCGGAATCCTTCCTCGATCAGCGCCCGGTCCAGGTCCTTGCCGATGAACACCATCTTGCTGACGCGCAGCTCACCCTCCTTCCACGGCCGGTCGGGCATCCCCTCAAACAGCATGTGCACCCCCTGCGCGGCGGCGGGGCCACGGGAGGCGGGCGTGCGCGGCGCGCATGTCGGCACATCGCGCGGCCAGCCAGCCTCGCCTGCCACACCGCACCACAGGGTGTAACCAGCTAGCCAGCCAGCCGCATGCACACCCGGCAGCCTCGGGTCCGCTGCCCCAGCCTTTCCCCCATGGCTGTGGGCCGCCGCTGGCCCGCCACCTGGCCCCGCCATGCCCACGGCCCGCCCCGTCCCAGTCCCCGTCGGCCCGCCAGCGCCAGCCCCGTCCCAGGCCCCGCGCCACAGCCCCAACACGTCTGTGCAGCAGGCTCAGCCTTTTCGCGTGCCTGGAAGACAAAGCGCTTGTCGAAGTCTTTGATGGCCAGCACCCCTTTCATGCGGTACAGGTCGTTGGACTTGACCTCAATCAGCCCGCCCAGCCAGTAGTTGACCTGCGGCGGGGTGTGCAGCGTGAGAGAGAGAGATGGAGTAGGGAGGGAGAGGCCGTGTGCATGCGAGAGAGAGAGGGAGGGAGAGAGAGAGAGTGTGTGTGGTTGGGGGAGGAAGGGCGCGTTGCGCGTGTGGCGTGTGTGCATGCTGGCCGGGCCCCTGGCCGCCAGCCCCTGGCCCCGCACCGCGCCCTAGTCCTGTCCCAGCTGCCGGCACACCCCCAGCCACCTCGCCCCGCCCGCAGCAGCAGGCAGGGTTGCCAAAACGGCAGGGCTTCTGCAGCCAAACGCTGCCTGAGCCACCAGGCAGGCAGGGCTGCCAACAAGGCGGGACTGGCAGAGGGACAAGAAGGCGGCACTGGCATGAACAAAGAAAGGCGAGCACCGATTTTTGTACCCCCAAAAAGCGAGGCGGCCCCCTCACCTTGTCCAGATCCATGTCCCCCACGATCGTCACGCTCACGCTGCCCACCGCATCGTCGTGGTGCTTGTGGCTGTGGCCGCCATGGGAGTGGCCCGCCCGCTCTGCTTACATCCATGCCACCCTGGGGCCCTTAGCTGCCGCCGCTGCTGCCCGCTCCCAGCGCCTGGTGTGGGGCGGCGACTATAACTTCACTCCTGATCCCCACCTTGACCGTCGCTCTATTGCCAACGTCCCCCTCCGCCGCTGCACCTACTGCAGTGATTCCTCCTCCCAGTCCTCCTTCTCCCTCTTCCTCCCCGGGCTGGTGGATGTCTGGCGCGTGCGCCACCCTGGCCGCCGTGCCTTCTCCTTCTCCAACGGGTCAGTGTTTTGCCGCCTCGACCGCATCTACGTCTCTGACCCGTTGCTCCCTTTCACCACCAGCCCCACAGTGAGCCCGGCCCCTCTGGCCGACCATTGCCCTGTTTCTGTCACCCTGCTGGGCCTTAAGCCCCCGTCTGTTGGCCGCCAGCGCCGCCGCCTGCGCCTCGGCTTTCTTTCTTCACCCGCTCTGTGCCAGCAGCTTGAGGAGTGGCTGGCTCAGCAGGCCCCTCCTACCGACCCCCACGCCCTCCTGGTGTGGTGGCCCGCCTTCAAGCGCCGCCTGTATGCCGTTTGTGTTGCTCTGCACCGCGCCAGCCGGGAGGCTGGTGCGGCGGTGGTGGCAGCCAGGGCAGCGCTGGACAGCCTGGCTGCCCGCTGGCGGGCGGGCGACGACGGCGCGCTGCCCGACCTTGTGGCAGCACACAGCACTTGGCGGCGAGCAGCCCACGCCGAGGGCGCAGCTGAGGCTGCGCAGGCGCGGCGCCACAGCTGGCTGCACTGCCGCGAGCGGGCC